ACTTGGTTGGCGTAGTCCAGGGGCGGTCTGACGTGGGCCCCATAGAGCGTCTGGAAGTCCATGCGAGTAATACGGGAGAAGGTGCGTCGGATCATTCGTAAAACGGCGAATGCATTCTGGGCCGATTTCTCATGGTGCACTGAGAAGGACAAGTTTGAGGAGACCCAGATGCCCAAATCCTTTTTGGCACCTATCCTCATGATGCTTTCTGCTCCTTTCTCACCATGCGTAACAAAGGTATTCGCTGGATTCCCTCCAAACGACATATGGACGCACTTTTCGTCATTCAGAGGAAGGTGCCAGTCCAACGACCACGGCTTGACAGCGTCTACATCCATTTGGAGGGCACTGGCACTGGAACTCCAGGGTTTCAAGTCGTCCGCAAAATGTAGACATGGGGCCTACGTCAGACCGCTCCTGGACTACGCCAACCAAGTTGTCTACTCAGGACGCACGAAAGACGTCACCCTCATTGAGCGTGTCCAGCGAGCCGCCACGTTAATGGTTGCCGGCCTCAAATCCGTGGACTACGAAACGTGTCTCGCGATGCTTGATCTCTTTCCCCTGGAGTACCGTCGCCTCCGAGGGGACCTAATTCTTACTTATGCTCTGTTTGAAGGAAGATTGGTAAACAGGTTATTTACGCTGGGTATTCGCACAATGAGATTGATTTCTCGATATCTACGGCATTCGGATAGGGGTACGTGATGCCTAACTAACTAGCCACATAGAGCCTACGTCGATAATACCAGACGACTGAACGTTCTTAACCGACGCACACCACTAACATGCGGCCAGAGGTACGCGATGCCTAACTAACTGGCCACATGGAGCCTACATCGATAATACCAGACAGGTGAACGATCTGTAAGATGCACGCTATGGCCGCACCAGGGGACGGTGGTTCTCCGTAGGTAGGTGTTCACGACAATTTCTGTGGATGGAAAACAGAAATAAACCTCATGAGCCAGAGCCCAGTAAGCAAGGTTGTACATCACCAATACTTACATATGAATCAATCAGTGACAAACGCCGTATACTACAGATCTTAACCGACGCACACCACCAACATGCGGCTAGGGGTACACGATGCCTGACTAATCCATCCATCGGTAACGGAGAAAAAACTCAAAGTGGACGTCATTGAATGGTGAGATATATTGGTCATTTTGAAGTTTACATATGTCCTTCTGGGAGGCGCATTTTCTTCTTCGTGGGGAGTGTTTATTTGGCCAGTGAAGTCCTGAATTTAGAGGAAGATATCATTCAGGTTATCGAAATACCACCATAAGGCGGGCGACCAACAAACAGGTAGAGATACTTACCCCAAAATTAACTGAAGCGACTATGCCGTCGCAGATCCCTGTTCACACAATGCCATCTTCAGCGGTTATTTCGCATTCCTGTTTACTGCACCTCTCAAGAAATACGAGACTTACATGAAATGCATAGGACCTCATTGACAGACAAACTTTTCGGAGCCAAGGGTCACATGAAATCATCTTCGTCTCCTTCACCTAGCTGGCGCTCCACAGAGTTAGTCGTAGTTGTCAGACATTGACTCACGTCTGTCGAGTAGTTACTCTGTGAACCCGAAAACACGGACGCACACATACTTACGGGACACACTGTGCTACGAATCTGTGCTTCGGTCCAGGTCAACATCATAAGGGGCCCTCTTTGCGGACCGGGTAGCAAGCACACCTCTGCGTTTTCTGGATGGGCACGGAACTAAGAACAAAAATGATGATTTATTTTCATGTGGACTCACCTTTGGGACAAGCCTGAAGGGCACCACCACATAGTGGGCA